CCTTTTACATCCCTCCAGCTTGCTGAGAGGAGGAACAAAGCACTTCCTTCTAAGAAGCAGGCTCCCAACTAATGCAAGGTCTTGAAAGCATGGGACCAACTGCTTCTTAGCTAAATCTGCCTGGCAGGAAGACGCTTATGAAGGCCTCACGCCATGACATTTACCTTGCCTGCAATTAGCAGGAGATGTGAAAGAAAAGAGCAGCAATTGTGGGATCAATGTGCATGTCACCTAGCTGTCTCTTGTTTGGCTCGCATGAAACACTCAGGCACATTTCCGAGCTGCTGCACATTTGATGGGCAACTGATGGACAAAATGAAGGGGTGAAGTCAGTGTGATGCTGTGCCCATTATGCCTAGGCAGGTGTAAACTAGAGCAGGCCCCTGGCTTTTTTTGAGCAATGCAACCAATCAACCAGACTTTGGGCCTAGTTCGAAGTCCACTGAGATCAATGGGAATCTTGCCTTTCATGAACCAGGCTTCTGATCAAACCTTTAAGGCTGGTTACAACTAAAAGGTGAATTGTGAACCGTGGCTAAGCTTATAACACAGTCATGAATCTTGTAACAAACAGGCATCAAAAGCCGCTGAATGTGTTTTGAAGATGCAGAAGATAATATTTATTATGATCTCTGGCTATTTATTGCAGCGCTGTGCGCTTGATGGCTACAAATAAAATACAGCGACTTTATTGAACGTAAGATTAAAAGGAGGAGAGGACACTTGAGTGATACAAGCCTGAGCACCGGGTGACTCAGCTATGTATCTGGAATGACATGGGTTTAAAATATATCCTGCATTTAAGCTAACTCACAGAACCGGGATGGCTCTCACAATGTGTCTTTCCTTTCTTCCTTGCTGATTCCCTTCCCTAGACTTCTGCACTCATTTTTTCAAGTCAATATTATATGTGCCCACTCTTGCACTGTTCAACCAGACACACTTACAGGGGCAAGCTACTTATCAGCAAATATGAATACTTCCAGTTGTGGAGACTTGGAAAAAGAACCCCATTAACTGCAGCTGAAACTGAGTGTATCAACAGACCAATTTTAAGAAAATCAGCATTTCTGAAAACCAAGACATCAATTTAGACACCCAAAATGAGAACTTGGGCCCTCACGGTGCTCTATTTTGAACACTTTTCTGTGATTCAATCTTCTCTTCACCATAAAGTCATCCACATCTTCCTAAAGACTGTTATTTTAGGCTGAGGTGTCATCCAGAGCTTGTCGGATAGGATCGGGAGTCTAAGGCTCCTAAACAGACTCTTGCAAAATTATTGCTTCCCAGTTCATGTTGGGCACTAGCTTTCTGTCTTTGTTAGGGTGCAACTCATGGTGTTGGTTTTCACTGAAAATGCCTTAATAGGGATCTGGCTACTGTACAGAACTTCTCTTTTCCTATCCACTATACGGCATGCTGAGGTCAGAGGTGTTTCCGATACCCTCTAGGTTGGATCTTTGGAAGAATGAAGTCAGGTCATGAGCAATAGAGGATCCCTGGCTCTAACATCATCTCTCTTGTTCCACTATTGCCCAAGTCTGCTGACTCTAAGAATATAGCAGAAGGCCCATCTGTCACTGAAGCATTTTCTTAAGCTCGAGCAAAATAGGAGTATTTCCAAGTAATGGGAAGAGTTAGTCAGCAAGACAGTTGGGAAGTATGTTCACTTGGGTAGCCTTAACATGACTCAAATGCACTTGGAGGTTATGGAGAAGACATGGGAAATAACCCCAAGAATAGAAATAAATGAGCCTGATTCATCTTCCACTTCTACCCGTGCAACCCCATTCGCTCAAGCATGGTTACTTCTGGTTTACATAAGCCTAACAGCAGGTGGATGCATCATGCTCTATATATTCTGCCAAGCTGTTTATCACCAGAATAGAAGATCTTTTCCTGAAGAGATGCAACCTGCAATTTCCATGAAGTACAGAACAAACCCAACTGGTGGGGAGCTCACTGCACCTCTCCCAGATGTGCTACAGAAGGTGCCGCATTAATGTCAGCCTGCCCCGCGTGCTAATCACAACAAAGTCTTTGCAGTCTCAGATCTCATTTGTAATCTGTTCTCTCCTCCCGGCTGTTGCAGCCCATAATGAAATAAAATGCTTCCCCATTAATACCTGTCGCCCTTCATTCAATGTGAAGGGGAGATGTGTCTGCTACTGCTGTCATCGGCCATTCTTCTCCTGCTCCTATGGTCACGGCCCTTGTGAGCCAGGGCTGAGTTTCACAAAAAGTCCAGAGTCTAATCACACCATATAAACCAGATGGACTGTCAGGCACACAAACAAGTCTCTTTTTTTTTTTGCTTTGAATACTTTGCTACAGATTTTTATGACAGGCAGTGGGTACAGAAGCTGCAAAATGGTCAGAGGTCACTGAAGCACCTTGTCAGGGAAGATTTTTATACTAGAAATGCAAATCTCAACCTCTGGTGTAAATAGGAATGCTGGAAACAGTAACGTGGAAGAGAGACAAAGACTGAGCAATGCTCCACAGAGAGGGATAGGAATATGCCATCAGCAGAGATAAATCTGTCAGAAAACGTGTAGAAGTGGTAACATGTACCTTGCACTGACTTGGCATTAAGTGGTTGTGCAAAATGAGCATAGCCTTCTCAGAGCAGCTGGAGAAAGGCTCTCGTGGAAATAGGCAGTGATCCCAGAACATGACGTGGCAAACCCATGGCACGGGGCTTTTCAAAGCTCTGCAGCTTTTCTCTGCCATTAACTGAGCTTTCCTGAAGCCATCCCTTTACCTTTGCAATGGCTTGCCATGTCCTATATTCTTTATGTGAATGCCACATCATTCATTCTTTATACTTGATGTGAAACTCTCCAAGCAATTTCCAAAGGAAGGTGAGCTTTATCCACTCCATGTACCAAAGAAATCACCCAGGCTTTGAGAAGCTAAAAGAGTTGCCCAAGGTCACACAGGAAATCCATGCAGAGCAAGGAATAAAACCCACAACCTCCAACTCTTAACCACAAGACCAGCCTTCTCCTGTGGGCAGTAGCAGGACCTGATCATAAAAGGTCCAGTGGCAATAGCACCATGTCTAGTGATAGCTTCCAACTCATTCTTCTGAAGAAGAAAGACTTACTATACTGCCAGTAGACACATGCTGGAGATGTGATGCATTGCAATCATGGTTAACATGGTTTAACTGATACCTTTGGCAAATATATGTCCGCCTGGGTATAATTCAAACAGAATCCTTTCCAGATTGCACTCTTTACAGCAGGCCTTATTTGTATACACAGATTTATATTGCTGCACTGGAAAAATAGGACATCTTCAAAGGTTGAAATCTAGCACAATGAGATGGTGGAGCTGGCATCTATGGAGAGAGTCACGTTTGGCAGGCTTAACTGCTTTGAAAAGTTTGGTGCAATCTGAAAGCAATTCCTGGAATATTTTGGTAGCTGGATTGTTGCTCATTGCACACTTCTCTTCCTTTTTCTATCCCTTCCTCTTCCCTCCTCCTTTTTTTTTTCTTTTTCATTGTATTGCTTATTGTTAGTGACATGCTTTGGTTTTACATGTACAGTTGATATTCATGTTTTCTGATATTTGTATTGTATTAAAAAAAAAAACCCTAATTTTTTTTTCAAGCAGCAACAGCTACTGTCAAATGAAATCCTGGCACTTTAAAATTCCCCTTGCTCTGTACCAAGTTTCTTGACCTAAAGGACAAATCTCACTGAATAAAGCTGGCTCTCCTGAAGAATCAAGTTTCTAGCCTCCAGGAATTTCAAGATTTCAGGCTAATTCTGTTCTCAGACATTTTTTTTTTCTGTTTCTTTCACTATTCACCCAAAGCATCTGCTTCTTGCCACTGTTGGAGACAAGATACTAGACTAGATGAACCTTTTGTCTGACCTTGTAGGGCACGGGCAGGCAATTATTTTGGGCAGAGGGCTGCTTACTGAATTTTGGCAAGGCATCGAGGGCTGCATGACAGGCAGCCAGGGGCAGAAAAATATTAGTTTCCTAAAGTTTTTAGGGGCCCTGTGGGCCAGATAGAATGGCCTGGTGGGCTGCATCCAGCCCCCGGGCCGCATTTTTCCTGCCCCTGCTGTAGGGTAATACTAATGTTAATAAGTTCTAAAAGGGGAAAGGGAAGGGGAAAAGAACAGCAAAGAAAAAAGGAAAACAAAAGGAAAGCAAACGAAAGAAAAGAAAAGAGAAGGAAAGGAAAGGAAAGGAAAACTGGTATGTTTGTAAAAGTTGAGCCTGGTTCTAGAAAAGATTGAGACAGCCACCTACCTATAACATCACTGGTTTTAACCTGAACAGTGTAGGTTGTATCCTCCATCATCTGCTCATCATCTATCACACCTGGCATCTCACACACGAGAGCTCCTTTAGGATGGTGGACCTTTGACAGCCATTCACTGTACGTAAATGTGGTCACTTCTTGATTAGCCAGGTTCTTCATGAGGATCTGGGGAAGAGTCAAAGCAAACAAAAGGATTTCAGTCACAGTGTTCATGAGGGTAAAGATGGAGCTGAGAAAGAGCAGGACGTAGCTGAGAATCAATAGGACGATCAGCCAAAGACCTGTACAGACTTTGGCCTGTTCACGGCACCAGTCCTTAGACACACTAGTATCATGATGGCTCCACTGAGGTAAGAGAAGCACTACTCTTGAGCACTTGCTTGTAGCTAACACTTGCAGCACCCGCTAGACAGGTGGGAGGCAATCTTTTCTGTTCAGCTCTGTGCAGGTGTTTGGATGGAAAATGCAAAGGAGGAATCGGACAACTTTGCCACTCCGGAGTCTTGACAGTAAAAACAAAGCTTGGCCGTGTGGGTGAGTCTGTCTCTGTTGGAGAAGAACAATTTTGTATTCTTCCACTCAAAAAGTCCCCCCAACCTTTCCATTTTAACTCTCAGCTTACTGAGTTACTTGACCGTTACTAGCAGGGTTCCTGGAAGGCTCTTGTCAAGTAGCAGGGATAATTAGCACAGGACAACTATATAACCATCACAGCACCTATAAAGATGCCACGGGGCAGGCATGGAGATATGAAAGCACACATTTTAAAAACTGGCCGCCAGTTTTCGGCCGCCTAAAAACTCCTTTTTGTATCCTTGTGTCAAGGTATTTAGAAGAATTCACAGATTTGCTGGGATGTGACAGAGCTGCACCACGAGCACTTCTGCTATGGCCTTGAGCTTGGGACCTCTGGGCTGTCGATGTGTACCTTTGCACCCATACCCCACCGGCTGATTTTCTGTTTGCAGGTTTGGGACGCATATTAGTAAACTGTCACATAGATGTATGAGGGCAGGCAAGTAATAAGCATTATCGTAACCATCAATACGGTTGGCCCCTCTCCACCATGCTCCGCATCAAGATTTTGATCCCAATAATACTTTTCCATGTTGATATTTTAAATCTGTTGCCTTTTGAAATGCAATTTGGGTCTGAACATCAGGTTAGATGCCCCTCTGAGATTCTGAATGGAGCTGCAATGAATCTTATGCAGGCAAAGTCAACACTATGAACGTTTCTCTGCTTGTGAATTGAGTGATTTGGCTGTGTATCACCCCATTGATAATCTATGCATTTTAATTAGTATTTATACACTCCTACTTCTGGTAAACTAAAGGCAGCATACATTATGACCAGCAAATGGTTGGCAAAAAGACTAAGGAGAATATAAAATAAGAAACACTTATTGTTATTTCACTAGGAGAAAAACATGGAGAATATCCTGTGAATAAACAGACCAGCAAATGGTTAATTACAGGGTTGATGGTTTAATCTAGCTTCTCATTTTACCATGCTAGTTAGTACTGTGAACCATCTGTCTGAGATTTTAGCGCTACCCCCACATGTATTTCATTATGCAGTTTTAATATGCACTTTTGACAGAAATGGAAATGGGCTCTGATCAGTTTTCATGTCACACCAAGCTACACAAGTCTTCAAATTTGGAATACAAATCAGAGCTTACAACGGCTCCCTCCCTTCATTTTCCATTTCGCTCCGGTTCTGACTCACAAGCTGTGAATGTAGTGTAGTATTTTTACCTTGGGGGAGGGGAGGGCGGTAGGACTGTACTGTTCCAAACATTTCAGTATAGCTAATAGGGAAGTTCTGCTTGCTTAACTTCCTTCTTCTCGCCTTCCTTTCTATCCTGAGAATGGAGTTGAAGCATGTTCAAAAGCAGCTAAGTCTCATTTTTAGGAGTGTGTCTCAAAAGAGCGGGTTTGACCCATTTGTTATTTGTCTACCTTTCCCTGCAACAGCTTTGGGATTGGGGTGTTGAGCCCCTGGACAGCCAGGTGAGACTGAGGTGTGTTTGTTCATATTTCTCAGATGGCCTTATTGAAAGCCAGTGGCATATTTGCGTGACTGGACTGTTGCAGCCACTGGTTGTTCAGAAGGATCAAGTGGATAGAAGTTGGTGGAGCTTGCCCTCTCTATTAAGACACAATTACTTGTTATTTATAACTCAATCCTGCAGGATCAGGAATATATGTGGCATGGGCGACTGGTGCCTCCTGAGTCTGGGGGTGCACCTGCAGAAGCTGGCGGTGGGGATGGGGCTGGCGAGCACCCGCAGAAGCCACCAGCAGTGTCGGCGGTGGGAGAGAGCCCTGTCAGGGGGGGCACATGCCCCCCTCTGCCCCCGCTACCAGTCACCTATGATATGTGGCTCAAGGTGCTAATTCACAAAGCCCAGGAGGGGGTTCTGGTAGGGTACTGATACAGATCACTGAGTCAAACCAGACAACTGTATGGATGTGTCTATATGGCAGAGACAGGGCTAGAGATACATGACTTGATTTCATTCAGTATGAGGAAATAGGGGGCAGGCACAACCCAGTCAAAGGACATGGACCAGCTCAGATGCAGTCCACTGGTTTCCCAGTCTGGCCACTAGACCAACACAACCTGTGCTGATATAATAGTTACGTTGCAGCAACACAATGTAGAAGCCATCACAGGAAGTAGCATGGCAGGACTGAAAGGTGATAGCTTTCTTTTGCTCCAGATGCAAGAATTGTGGTCCAAAATGATTGCTTTGGGGCCTACAAGAAGGACATAATATTTGCCTCATTCTTTACTGGATGAGCATTAGCAGTTTGCCGAGATCTGCTGGTTCCATAGAGACCGCTACTGCACGAGCAGTAGATAAGAGTGGTTAAAGCCATATTATTAACACCACTAGAAATGCAAGAGGAAACTCTTTAATATTTGATATAGGGAGAAGGAAAAAACACCAGCCAAGGGAAGGAGATATATTGTTTTGAAGGATTTACAGTTACTTGAAAATATCTTTTTAAACTCTGCCCCACACCCTCTATTACCACATGTTAGTGCATGATGCTTTCATCTTCAGAGTCCAGCTAGGCTTTCTAGGAGCTCACGTAACACCACTGAGTTTGTAATGTCTTGGCACTGAGCCACTGTTTTTTCTGTAGAAGGGAAACACGAGGTCTAACCATTGACTTAAAGTTACACGTTACATTTACTTCCCCCTCCTCCCTCCCTTCCCATCTCCTCGGTCTTCATTTCTGCAGGACAAGAATTTGGAAAGTGTGAAAGGGAGGAAAGCTCCTAAGAGGAAACGTGATGGCTAGAACGGGAACGGCAGTGCTTCCTCGTTACATCTGGCCATGGCAGAAAGCCTCTACACCGCAGAGCTAATTAGCTGTACTGTGTTAAGTGACTGCAATACCTTCTCTAGGAACCAGTCCGGGCGACTCCCGTTTCCATCGGTTCGAATCCTCATCTTCCGAAGCGGTGCAATATCATTGATCTCCATGACAAAACTGTCCTCCTGGGCCCTCTCAAATCTGGAGAAATGGAAAGGTCACTCAGAGTTTGCAACATCCATTGGCTATTTCAGGCTGACAGTCACCAGACCCTGTCCACACTGTGACTCAAGCCACACCAGCACAATCACTAAGACAATGATCATCAATCACTGTTCTAACTACACCAAGCTGGAATTGAGCTTTCCTGTCCAGTTGTAAGCCATCATAGCTGTTGCAAGCAAGCAGTTTGGGTGGGGATTATTTTCCCCGAGTATCAAGCCAGTACAAACCCTAGTATAAATTTGCCTCAGATACTCCATAGCATAGCTTGCTATTCTGGTTGTAACTGCTATATCTCTCTTTACAGCTTGTGTGCAAATTGTAGTACTGTTAGAGAGGGGTTCAAGCTAAAATCCCCACCTAAACAGGTTGCCCTCCCCAAGGCCTGCAAGTCTGAGCCCAGAATCAGATGCTGCACAGTTCTCTTTCCTTGTATAAACTATCATACAGTGGAGTTATTTACTCTGATACGACGCACATGTAGATGCTGATGGGGCAGGCTGTAGATGCCAATGGGGGCATGAGGGTGCTTCAGGGCAGGGGCTGCCTGACAGCTAGCCCTCACACTAAAGCCCCTTTGTGCCCCAGCCAGCCCCTCTGCAGCACACTGAGCTGGGACAAAGCAGCCCCGGGCTGGCAGGCTGACCTCAATGTGCTACGGTCCCAGGCACATGTGTGAATGCTGTGCTCAGGAGCCATAAACTCTAGTGCAAACTGCGCTGGAGTTTATTGCGTCACACTAATATCGCATGTAGACGCATCCACTGGGCATGAGACACTGGGCATGCATCCATCTACATGAGACACTACATCACCGAGCTACAGTGACATAGTATCAGCGGGCACAAACTGTGATGCTGCTGGTACTGCGCAGTAGTGTCAGAAATAACCTGTGCAGCAACGGGACTGTGCAATTCTGGCAGTTAAAGCAAGTACTAAATGACTTGGGTCATTAGGGTCAGGTCATTTAGTTGGGTGCTCGTGTAGATGCACCCGCTGAGAACTTTGCACGGAGCAGGGCTACAGCTCTTCATGTGTTTGGGGAGAGCCACACACACTTTGAGCATTACCACAGGCAGGAGAATAAATAATAATACTACCCTTCCCTGGCAGTGTACCTGCTCCCAGTTGTGCAAGGCTGTGTCATGAAGGGAAAATACTGCCTTACAACCTATGCTCAGATTACACCCCTGAGCACGAATCTGATATCGTCACACTGTTATCTCAGCCTGTATAGCTGCAGATGTTAGCAATAGAAGTTGGCATGAACACTGAGGTGTTCACTTCCACAGATTCCCAGAGGCGTTCAGATGTGAGGTTACGGTACTGCCCTATTTCTAGTTAGTCATGGCTAAGTTTACCCAGTGCTTATTCCTTTGCAAAACCTATCTCTGTGCCTGCCACAACACTTTTCTGTGGTAGTGAATTCCAACAGGGACTTTGCATTTGCTTTTATGCCTTTTGAAGATCCATTCCTGTTTCTAACTTGGTAAAGACAAAAGGAGAAGGAGTAAACTATCAATTTTCATCATCTCATGATTGTTTTTAAAGCTTTATGTCCCTGTCTCATTTTCGTCCTTTCCAGGCCAAAGAAGTCTAGCTTAAGGAGTCTCCTATTATTCTGTACCTATATCCTCCTCTCTACAGGAACTATCCTCATCCGAATATCCCCATCTGTTACTTCCAAGAACCCACTGCCCTGTGCAGAAGAAATGGATGGCCCAAGTAGATCTTTTCTCTCTTCTACCTCCAATTTACATGAACACACAGGATAAAGGCTACAAGTCTGAGCAAAAACTGAAGAAGGAAGGGAAGAGCACTAAAGACCAACTATTTGGTACTATGCCTTTTCTAGGATGCCGAACCATTTATCTACAGCAGCGTTTCTCAACCCGTATGTCATGACCCAAAAGTGGGTTGCAAGAATATATGAAAGGGTCGCAAACATACTTTAAAAAGGGATTCTCCTTTATGGAAGAAAAATGTGGGAAGCCACGGCTTTTCCCTTGCAGGCTGGCAGATTTCCAGCATGCAAGGGGCTGCTTGTGGCCCCCCTGCCCCATACACCCTGCCCCTGCCCCACACCTTGGGGGCCTGGGGCCTGGGGGCAGTGGGTTGGGAGTGAGGGGCACTGGGCCAGGCCTGGCCATCAACGTTTCCAAATGGTCCTAGTCCAAAAAAGGTTGAGAACCACTGATGTGCAGGATTGCATTAAGCTTTCCTCCCCATGCCAGTACTTATTAATATTTGTATTGCTCAGAGCTCAGGGTAATAGCAATAAAGCAATTAATAATGCCTTAAATCTGTGGGAGATTAGACCGCTGTTTCTTAATAAGGTGGCAGGCTCCTGTGAGTGAGCTGGTACTGGCTGGCAGCAGTGAAGACGGAAGTTTTTTAGCAGTTTTGTCTACAGTGCTTCTCCTCCCTCACACTCCTACTTACATGATGACTACAGACATCTCCGTGACTCAGGGGAACTGTTGGACTAAGAGGCAGCAGGAGTGTCAGACAAACTGGCAACATGCACACTGAAGCCATGTGTGGCAGGATGCTGTCCCAGGGTGTACCCCTTTGTGGCCAGATACAGCCTTGCCTAAAATATTTAAGGTGATATTCTCCTTCTTTGGGGTCTGATTAGTTCAGTCTTTACAAAATATGGGATTAAAGTGCTACACAGTTCTCCTTCCTAGGGCTGTATCCCCATGCCAGCCTGGCAGCCTCTGCTCCTCTTCAGCTTCTTCAGATATTTCACAGCCAGAGCCTATAAGAGGCGAGGAATGGGGGTAGTTATATTGGTCCCCAGGCTTGGGCAGTCCCTAAAATCAGATCCCTCTATATCCTGTTTCCAAAAAGGGAGGTGTGGGGCCCCCTACCAGGATGTATTGGGACTTCAAATTTCTCTCAGTACCCCAGCAGCATTCCTGGCGGGATCCAGGCAAGCGTCCCCATCCCTTTCCAGGTTGTTTGCACTTTCTCAGCTGCCAACTGGGTTTTAGCATGCTCAGGATATAGCTGATTAACACCTAGCTCCCTATCCCCAGCTTGTCTGCTGCTCCCTTAACCTTTCCTTCCTTAATAGGGCCATGAACAGGTGGTTGGCACCAGGCCCAGCTACTTGGTAAGAAAGGGATAAAACACTGTTGTAATAATTGGAGCTGATAGAGCTCTCCTCATTGCAAGCTCAGGTGTGGGAAGTCAGTGAGAGTTCATAAAATGTTCCAATAGCTTGTGACAATCAACAAGGACAGACAGGAGTGTGAACAGGAGGCAGAGACTGGATTGCTCCCCAAGGACGGGCTTGTCGAGCAACTCCAGGGCTGTGCCTGGGCCATGAATGCTAAGCGGGTAGAGGATGGAACTGAAAATTAACATAAAAATGGATGTGTTGGAAATTAGGTGAATGGGGGAAGGAAACACTAAGATTTGTCCACTCACTACCCTTGTTCCTAGATGTTTAAAAAGGGCAGCTTTAGGAAACAAAATAGTAGAAATGGCTCCTGGGAGATGTCCTAGGGAAAGGCAGACAGGCCGCTATTTTACTCCAGAGATTCTGTCCCGTGTCGGCGAGCCCAGATTATCAGGACTTCATGCCCAGTGTTTTGCAAAGGACACCTGACTGTTACGGCTCTGCCTTCAAGGACCCTAATTTAATAATCCCTCCACTCCTGTCTCCCTTGCTGTCTTTTCAATGCATTCTTCCAGTTGTAACTCTTTCTCTCAGTTTTCATCGGTTCGGGAGGCAACTGTGGCAGTAGTACCAGCTAAACGACCAGTGAAGGAGAGGGAGCCGGCCAGATAATCCCATTCCAGAGAAACGAACCACAATGCAAAGCAGTAGCTGTTGTGGCCAGTCTGCTAGGCCAGGGTGTAAATCTATGACTGACTAGCTACTTTGTGTGCTGAGATTATCAATGAAGGTATGAATCCCCTACCTTTTACTAACCATGTTCTCCTCCCTCTCTGAGTCTCGTTCATCAAACGCAGGAGTAATGGCCATCCCTGCTGTGACCACCTCAAGATTCAATTCCCAGAATGAACCCTTCCTTCCCTACTAAAAAAGATAGCTTGACAAAATAAAAGACTAATCAACATCCTCTCTCTGGTAAAGGGGCTCTGATGGGCTTCATTTAGGTTGCCTGGTCTCACCACGCAGCTTCAAAAATGGTTTATGTTTTGGTTTTGATTCTTTTTCTTCAATATATTTGTGAATTTTGGCATGCAATTTCCAACATGTGTGCAAAGGTCTCTGTTCACGAACTCCTCAACCATGTTTAACTGCATAATGCTGTATGGCGACAGGGTTATGTCAACGCCTTTGACTCAATGAGCCCATTTATTCCAATGAAATTAAGACCACTGCAACTTGAACAGAGCAAGGACACCAGCATTTCTGAGCCAGAGCTACAGCATGTAAAAGCTGCTTTATCCAATGCATAAATTAGAAGTGAACCTTTATGAGTAGCTCTGTGTGCAGCGACTATCTTTTCACTATGTTGTGAAGGACCCTGTCTGAAGATATCTTTGGTGACTGATAGCACAAACTGTATGAATCTCCCTCATCATGTCCTAATGTCGTTATAACATAAGTTACTTCCCAACTTTTTAACCAATTAAAGAAGAAGTTATGTTTTTGCCTGGCAAGGCCATTCAGTCCAAAGATTTCACCTGTATCTAGCTGTTCATTTAGAGCTACCTTGAAGGACTGCCCCAGCAGTGCCTGGAAGTAAGAGGCATCCCTTCAATATTTCCGCAGACGACCAGTGCTGGCATGGAGTTGTTTTTCTGGCTTAGAAACAAAACCAATATCTCATCTCCACACTAGTTGGGGTTGCCCATTGGACTTAATGCACTGGAAAGCAGATGAGCTACAGAGATGGGAAGGGCACCATGAAGAACAAATTCATCAGCACTCAGGCACTCCATGGCTTCTAACCGGTCTTTTGGGGCACTTGTACACATGAGGCTATTACCATGTACACATGACAAAAATGTCACTTTGTGTGGCTTAGTGGTGTCACACTGTACACGTTCAAAAGTTTTGGGGGTTTCAAATGAGTTTGCATCATTGCAAACTAAATGACATCCTGATGTAGTTTAGTCTGCAACGATGCATTGCAGCCATTAGTCAGCTCATCCCCTGGCCGTAGGAGAGGTGGGCAGGCTCTGCAGAAAAAAAGTATCAGGCCCCTCACCACTTCTGACTTCAGCAGGTGCCTGACAAGCTGCTGGCAGGCCAAGTGGCCCCCAAGCTGTGGGGGACCCCAGTCCTTCCCTCCACGGTGGCAGCACACCCCAGGGTTGCCCAGAAAGGCTGCTTGTGCACTGGGTGCTGCCCCAGCTCGGAGGGTCGGGGAAGAGTTGGATCCGGAGGCATCCCAGCTCAGAGGCAGCACCCAGCCAGCTAGCAGCCCACCTGGCTGGCCCTCCAGCTGCCACTGCAGAGGGAAAGACCAGGGCTCCCTGCAACTCAGGGGCTACCTAGCCTGCTGGGAGCTCATCCCCCGGCCATGGGCAGGCTCTGTCAAAAAAAAAAGTATCAGTTCCCTCGCTGTAACAGTGACAGAAAAATAAAACCCCATCATTTCAATTAAAAAACCCACCGTTTCATTTTAGGGGGAACAGAATGCAACCCTAAGAATGAAACCCCCGCCACGTGTACAAGCGCACCTGGGTGTCTCTAATAGGAGAGAGGGGGAGAGAGGGGAAGATGGCACCAGCAGCTGTAGCTTTCTGGAGCCTGCCTGGTTCAGAAAGGACTGAATCCACTATGCTGGTTTGAGTCCTTTGAAGACAACATAGAGATTTTAAGCAGGGATATCCTTAACAAAGGACACCATTCTCTTTACATAATGGAGAACAAGAATGATTCAAGATCATTTTAACAGGCTCACCCAAGGAAGCGTTTGGTAATGACATCTGCAAATAGAACATCTTCCTATTGGAAGATCCAAAGGTCTCTTCATCCTATTGAACGCAGAACTCTTACCTGTTATGACACCAGTCACAGGGTCACAGCTCCCCAAGTTAATGTGCTGTGAGGCTGTAGGCTACATATGGTATCCCTACCACAAACTGGACCTGAATTCTATTCTAAATTCTAGATCCTTCTAGTCTACAGCACTCCGGAAATGACGTAGAAGGACATATTTAATTTAAATATTGGAAATCCTACATTTTTAACGTTAGAAAATAAGTCATATGTGGGCCTTTGAGACTTAGCTTAGGCTATCTTTGCTTTTTCAGTACACACAGATTCTTGTTTTGAGAATGTCTAACTGTATTGTAGACGCTCTAAGGGAGAAAATGGGTGGTTTTAGGTGGCAGGTAGGATTTCTGACACCTAAGAAGATACTGGAGTCAGGATCAGTTTACAGACTAGGTATATTCTATAACTGGCTGCTCTGGATGAAATGATACCAGAAGTGGAGTAGTTACAAAGCATAACTTTTATTCCTCATCTTTAGGTTTCACAGGGTGCATCTACACGTGCGCTTTATTGTGGAGCTGACTAATTAGCTCTGCAGTAAAGCGTCACCATTTACATATGCACCCATATTAGGGTGCAGGAAACTAACTCTGCTGTAGAATAGTACTGTCTGGGACAAGTACTATCCTACAACAGAGTAGTTACATGAGCCGAAACACATGAGTAGACAGTGAGCAGGGCCAGCTGAGGCACAAGGCTGCTATACTGTGGGGGCTGCCTGCCAGCTAGCCCCACACTCGAGAACCCTCATGCTCCAGCCAGCTCCTCTGCAACACATGGAGCTGGGGCAGAGCCGCCCCAGACTGGCAGGCTAACCCCATAGGCCTTCTGCCAGCTGGGGCTGCTCCAACCTGGCTCAACATGCTGCAGCCCTGGGCGCGCACGTAAATGCTGCACCTGGGAAAAATAACATCCAGCAACTGCTCCAGAGTTCATTGCTATGTGCTAATTCCACATGTAGGTGCATTCACAGTACACAACAGCTGGATATAAATCCTGGAGAGGTTCACATTGCTCCTAGACCAGGCTCTCTGCAGGCTCAGGCAGATATGGCTGTTTTAGCCTACATTTACTTTGGGTTTTTTAAGGGTTTTTTTGTTTGTTTTTTAAGGGAAAAAGAAATCGTAGGCCATGTCTACATTACCTCCTGCCGAATCTCACCCCTTGCCCCCAGACAGCTAAGATGCATCCTGAGCATGCTCTCCAAAGAATCTGTCAGGTGGAGTAGAAGGGAAGAGAGGGCTTGCTTCTTAGTAGCCATCCCAGACCCAGTAGGGAGGGAGCGTGGCCTAGCCTTACCTTCTCCAACAAACATGGATTCCACAGCAAAATCTGCAGTGGTGACTGCATCGCATACAAGGCCTCAACTTCTGGTGACAGGATACTACAATATCTGCAGATTCCCTCACAGCGTACAGCTTTAAAACTACATAGAAACAACCTTTGTACAAATAACAAAGGATTATACCATTGGTTGTATAGTATATTCCATCCTTCTGTCTTGTTCAAGGGTGTGAAGAAATCTCCCTCTGTCTGTCTCTGGACTGGGACATTTCAGGCTTGGGGGAGAATGTATCACTCATATACACTTGGGATTGTGTATGGTCAAGTGTGTTTGGATTTATTTTGCTGAGTATCTTGTTTGTGCTGTATATTTTGCTTCCTCTAGGACTGGAGAAGACCACCTCCCATCCCCACTTATTGTGTCTAGACCCTTTGTCTTAAGTTTCCCTCCAAGGAACCAGTTGAACCAGTTTGGTGACTCTGGCTACTTCACCAGGAGTGGAGTGGAGGGGTGCTGACCACTTTTGAAATGAAGCATGATTTTGGGTGTGGCACAGTGAGGTGGGTGGCTCAGCACAGTAGCCCCCTTCTGTCCCACCACAAAAGGAGCCTGATCCTAAGTTATTTAAGTTACTAAAAGGTTTGTCATTTATTTCCCGGGAAGCAAGAGCACAATCCTAATGCACCACCTTTAGATTTGAAACGGGAGGTCTGCTCTTGCCTACTTTTAAGGACAAAGTTGGCCAGGTACCTTACCTGTCTCCATTTTTGTCCAGCTGCATCTCCTCAGTGCTCCCATTTGATCCAAAAAGAGTCATATAAATACTGGTGTCAGTGCCAGCACCTTGTTGGTCTCCAGTCACAACTGTAACTTCATAGAGAACCTAGCAGGAGTGGAAGCTATCAGGTGATGTCACATTGCACACGGCTATTCTTAACTCAAACAAAAGCCTGAGCAAAGAGCTGATTAGGCTCTGTACCTTGTCTGCTTTTTAAGTGCACTAATCAGAAAGATACCGTTCCTGGTCTCCTAATTCCAGTGTATCCCAGTACTAAGATACTGGCAAAAGTTACTATGGAATGTTTCCCTTTTCATCATCTAACCTTTTCAGCAGCTATAGCATCTTCTGACAGCCCACATAATGCATTTGAGTGAGAGACCCTCTGGTCATACATATGTACACTTGAGGAGGGCTGGGCACCTGATAAGCAGCAGTGCCATGTAATAAGTGGCTGCTCTCATGCAGCCTTATCTGCTTTGCCGACAAATACACCTCCCTCCAGATGGATTCCAACATTACAAACCTCTGGGCAGCTTCAAAAGTTTGCCATTAAAAAAATAAGATTCCCAGAGAAAGGCTCGTTCCTTTTTCTCAAATACAGGATGTATCCCCAGAGTGCTCAGTGGTAATGGGGAGCTCTGAATAATGGCTATTCCCAGTTTCCCAATGGGATATACATTTGCTCTGGGGTCTGCAAGGTAGGCCAGTCTTTGTACTGGAAAGCAGTTTGGCTTATTTTCAATCGTCTTCCTCTGAAGTGTGAATACCTGGACTTATCAGGTAGACTATTTCCAAAATACCTAAATCTCAACTTTCAGGGGAATTAAGGCTCCTAGGTCTTTATAGTTGACTTTCACATATTTACCCCTAGTAACAAAGGCAGCTGGGTTTGTCAGTGGAAAGATTGAAAGCAGTTCCAACACCAGACACGACTTAATGTTGTGATGCACGAGGTAAGTTTTATCGGTATGAATTGTAGGTACTGCATTTCTCAAGAGCAGAGCAGAAATAACTTTAAGGAAAAACTGCTTTCAAAATGTTCATTTGCTTTTGAGTAATGTTCCCCTTCCAATCTCATAAAAACAGACATTTTTAAACCTTGATACACTATCCTGGATCCTGTTTATACCATATATTGAAGAGGAAGAATGCCCCCCCCAACCTCCCCCTCTATTTTGCAAGTGTTTTAGAGTTGTTTTAATCTCAGTAATGGCACAGTAGCTTGTTATCCCGTGTCTGTCTCAATGTCAAGAATCCAAATGAGAGAAATAAATCAAAGAGCAACACATTCAAATAGATGCATTCAAGTTATGTGGTGACTGTGCAAGACCAGAAGGAAAATTAGCCATTAACTTTCCTAATCTAGCTAAAAGCCCTCGTTCCCATCAGTGCTAACTAATTAAACTCATTTGGGATTTGTAATCTAATCTAAGGGAAAATTGGCAAAAATAGGTTTTGAAACTGTTCAGAACATGAAACATACTCTTCTCATAGTGTGTGCAAGGCACTTCCCCTGGTTTCCGTCAAGCCTTCCAGAAAATAATTCAGGTCGATGAATTCACTTAAAGAAGCAGGGGTCAGAATTGGGTTTTTAAAGGAAAACTGAGCTTAAACCTTAATGTAAATATGGATTATGGACAAGACATTAGGTCACTGATACAAGCCTTTAAAAGTTGTCCAGGTGGATATTAAAGACCTGGGGGGATGTTTCAAAGAGAGTCTGTCTTAACCTCAGTGTCCTGCCCTTTTGCTCTGACAGAGGTTCTGTTGGACATTATTCATCATTAAGAGTCGCTCAGTCCCTAAAAATCTTACCACTTTTTATTTCCCCGGGATACATAAAATACTTAATTTACTTTGAAGTCAGGAGCCATATACATGAAATTAATGTGTAACCAGCAGTGTGATCCAGCAGCAACTCTAGATTTACCTGTCCAGATCTGAAACAGCACAAAGACATTAAATACGGCCTGTGTATAATTGTCCACTCGTACATACTACTACATATTTCTACGATGAATCATATATTTAAGGGTTGTGTAATCCGGTCTTTTTAATTTGGGTTGGAATATGAAACAGAACATCTTGCCTCAAATTGATGCATACACTGAGTGGTTTGGGGCTGTCCTGTTTACTGTCTTTGTTATATTTGACTTGAACCATTTTGGTACTTGTTTCAGAAAAGGCAGCTGAATTTTGAAAAACAATTTGCACACAATCTCCCCCCACCCAAACTTTGCACATACAAAAATATCTTAATTTATTATCTTTGAAATTATCTCCTAGGAATACACAACTGATTTACATATTATTATAGGCTATTTAAACATTAGTAAATATTTGCAGTGCTTTGTAATAGGTAATGAGATGAAGGAAATCCCCGAAATACATAAGTTCACTTTGTAAGTAGAAATTTCAGCTTCCTGGAGATGCTACAATACAGTCATTTTCAAAGCTAGAGTTGGCAGGGTAGGATCTGGTATGATATACAGTGCATGCACGTATGTAGATGAAGCTTTTAATGTAATTGTTAACAAGATCTAAAAGATTTGAGAACATACCTTGAGGCCAATGTTAATGCAGTCGGCATCCACTATGTTGAAAACCCGTGATGTGCGCCCATCCCCTTTATCTCTGGCCAACCAACAGTTGCAGATGAAGTTATACATGACACCCTTTGTGGGCACAACCAGTGCCAATTCCTCCACCAGCCAAGCGCTTTCTGGTGTGCCACCATCGTGCCCCACCTGTGACAGCCAGACATAGGAAGAGCTGTTAAAGGAAACAGGGACAGATCCAGGGATCCTGAGAGAAGCGGATCAGAGGAGGTATTTTGAGTGGTAATGGGAGAGACGTGCTGTTATGCGTACCTCTCCAAGGCAGCCACCTCCAGGATAGGACAGAGAATGAGAGTACATTCCTATACAGATGAAAAGCTTTCAGTATCTGTTGGAGATAATATGGTTGGGAAGTTCCACATCCCACTTCTGGGCATGCTTTTAAAATCTAGACCATACCCACATGGAAATAAGGATATTAAGTAGGCAGAAGACTATTGCCTATATGGAAACAGAAGAAACACTCCTATTGGTGTAAACCGGATGACGCCTCATTACATCACTCTCCCTCACTCCACACCAATTATGATGTGTACAGCCATCCATTGGTGACTCCTCCTACTTTACATCCCAGCCACCTCTTATGGCTTTATTGAATTGAGCGATAAGGCCAAACCCTTTCATCAGCCAAAACCCTCCCTCAGACCCAGCTCTGCAGTGACACGTAGTAGAAATCATCCCAAACCTAGATGCCAGAATGAGGGACAATTGAGGAAATATTGAATATCCACCCCCTGACAATGCAAGTCTAGATACACCAACATCATATATACTGGATGTGATTTCCTCTTCCCCAACCATAGTGCATTGCTCATCATCTTAAATTGTTACTTCCTAAGGGCAGAAAATGTGTTTGCTTCTTTGTAAGGCACCCGGTGCAGTGGGGTGCCAATCTTAATCAGCCTTTCTACAACACTAAAAATACTAATGGGATTTTTATTGACCACCTGCGTTCAGAACCTCAGCCAAGAGCTGGTATCTGAAGCAATACTGTAACTCCAGCATTATGCTGGGCATTGGTTCACAGTCCTTCCTCCAGGTGAAAAAAAGCCTTGTTCCCAGTCACCAGCACCAGCAAGGACTTTTCTGGGAGGTCTCCCAAATAGGCACCAAATGAGCCAGACCCTTCTAAGCTAGAGAGGGTACAGCCACACACAATCACTAAGGGTTTAAACTTCTGAGAGCGTCTGTGTGTCCCTGTTCATAACTTGGGAGATTCATCGGAGCACATTCTTATCAGCATAATTATGTATCCCAATCACCAGAGAGAAACACTCTTTTCAGTCGGTCGTTCTAATGAACAAGCTGTTCACAAAGGGCTGGAAATAAGAACAGTCGACAGGTCATTATTTTCACAGCCAAAGTTGCTAGTTATTAACAGAAATACAGAGCCCTGAGCTCTCCATTTTTAAAAATTATTTCCTGAGCAACTCTAAATAGCCTCATAATTTGTTTGGTTTTTTTCTTGCAATAACAGCTCCATCTTACGTGATGGATCTACAGTATCTTCCCCACCCAAAAACAAATGATCGTTTTTATCTGACTGCCTCAGCCATCACTGCTATTAGGAGTATTATTACAATACTAATGTCTGTGCAGCTGCAGAAAATTAGAGTTAACCACTAGGGAAATTCAAGTCTACAATGGATGCATTAATTCTTGGATTCCTGGGGTGTGAGGTGAATGGGAATACAACACTTGTTTTTCAGCTCCCTCCATGCCAAATCAGCTGCCGAGCCTCTTTGAGATGTAAACTCTTTTTTTAAAATCTGAAGTGGGATGGCAGGTATGAAGGAGCCGGGGAAAGTTTTAAGAAGCCGCTCTGCACTCAGGGACAGACGGACGACCTAGAGGGGAAAAGTCTGCTGTGGCTCTTCTGGAAGCATGCAGCTTTTTTGGGTTCATTGCCAATGTCCCTGGAGGGATAACTCTGGGAAACCAGGGGACACCTCCATTTCAAAGCAACTATAAACTCCTATTAATATCAAGGCCGTGCCAAAATGGGGAACCCTGATTTCCAGAGGCAACCACCAAGCAGAAGACCAGCAGAAGATTTTCAGAACAATGTCCGAGTTAAAATTTAGTTCTGGGCAGTGCAACCCCCTGCATGCACAGAGCATTTATAACATAAAACCTTTTGAGATTTTCTCAGCAAGCAATAATAAATAGCTGATTTTAATAGCAAATTTTGTTGCAAAATGGGGAGTGCTATAAACGATGCCATTGTGGCGCCCGGTCTCAAGTCACTCCATAGCTGTAAGGTAGCCTGAACATGCAGCCAGACCAGCACCCATGGGAAACTCAGGTTGCTTCTAGCAGGCATGTTTCAGGAACCTAAAGAAGTTGTATTTCAAAGGCATGGGGTGTCTAATTTAGAGTCATAGAAAAGCAGGGCAGGAAGGGGCTTCCAGAGGTCATCTGGTTCAATCCCCTACCTGAGACAGGATAATCATTCCATGCAAATTTTTGTCTAACCTATTAAGAAAACTTCACAACCCACTCTGTCACACAACCACAAGGCACAGCACCCTAACCTGCCACAGCAAAGCAACAGGACCATGGCAGCTAATGTCCTGACACTGTGAAGGTTACTAAAATATGCTCAAGGGCCATGTCCCCCACTACAGAGGAAAGGCAAAATAGTAATACCCACAATCTGTACAAATCTGATGGTGGGGTAAAATTCCTTCCTGACCCTAAAGGTGGCAATTAGTCTGATTTTGAGTGGAGGAGCAAGACCATCTAGACAAGAACCACCAGGTTTTAGTCCCAGCGGGAGCATTAGTACACCCGAATCAAAATTCCCAACCTTGGTGTCAGCGAACACCCAGTACTTCTGGGTCCAAAAAGGTCTACAAAAATCCTGACACATGTAGCAACAGGAGAGGAAAACATATTCTTTTCCAGCTCCATGTGGCAACCAGCAACACTCAGAAACGTGGAAAATACCCACAGCATACTCCTAGATCATTCTTGACCCATGTTTATCCAGTCTCTTCCTGAACACCTCCAGGGATGGAGATTCAACAACTTTCCTAGGCACTATTTCACTGCCTCACTTCTTCTCACAGAGAAGATTTTCCTCATATCCAACCTAAAAGTGCTCTGTTGCAACTTCATGCCATTGGTCCATGTTCGGCTTTCTGCAGCAAGAGAAAAAGGGTCTCTTCCCACTTCTTTATGGCAGCCCTTTATGTATTTGAAGACTTATCATGTGCCCTCTTAAGTGCTTTTTGCACGAGCTGAACATGCCCATTTCCGTTAACCTCTCTTCCTATGACTTGTTTTCCAAGCCCTTTGTCATTTTTGTCACCAGTCGCTGGACAAACTCAACTTCTTCATGTCCTTTTTAAAATATGGAGCCCAAAACAGCAACCAATACTCTAAATGAGGCCTAATCAGGGCTGAGTAAAGAAGCACTATCACCTCCCAGGACTTGCACCTAATTCTCCTATTGATACAGCCCAAAATCACATTCACTTTTTGTGCAGCTACATCCCATTGCAGACTCCTGTTGAGGCTGTGATCCACCAAGACTCCTAGATCCTTCTCTGTGGTGCTGCCATCCCTCCAGGTGTCACCCATTTTGTATTTGTATGTTTTATTATTCCTCCCAAGGGTGTAGCACCTGGCATTTGTCAGCATTGAACTTCATCTTGTTAGCTCCAAATCATTAATAAACACTTTGAACAGCACCGGACCCAAGACAGACCATCAAGAGTGAAGAGAAGGACGGACAGGACCGCAGCAGGTCCTACTGAGGGTAGAGAGACCAACAGGCTTCTCTGGCTGTAAAGCTGTGCACTATTATTTGTCTTTTTTTCCTCTCACTTTCATCTTCACCTTATTCCCTTTCATTCTGCTCCTTTCTATTTTTTCTCCATTTCTTTGTGGTGAACTGCAGGAGCTTCTGCCTTCCTCTGTAACATGGAGCACGATCCTTTTCTTTCCTGAGATCTTTTGGGCATATATTAACCAACCGATTCCCTGTCATTGCTGTGGCAGGTCCTTGGCAGCCTGTTGTAGGGTGTTCTCCTGCTTCAGATGTCATTCCTTGTAGCTGTCGGTGAGAGTCTGAAGAGGTGATTTTGGGGATACCTTTGATTAATGAGTGCCTGTGAAGACCCAGGACTAAATAGCCCAGGATCCCCCTTCTAGTTGTTTGTCCCCCTTCTCTTTCTCCATCTCTCTT